CTGGGTTCAATCCCCTGTAGAAAAGAGGAAGGGAAATAGAAAAAAGCATTTAAAAATTGCATTATTAGGTATGGAAACCAAAAATGAGGCTTACTAACGTTTAAATCCAAAACACAACTGAAGCCAGAGTGATGATGTTCCCTTTAAGTCTATTCATATTCCTGACAACCATTTAGAGATACTGCCACCAGTTTTACAGATAGAATTCATTAGGGTAGTAACCTGCCCCCAAAATAGTTTATTAAGTGGCAGAGTCAGATGCTAATCTAAATCTTTTTGGCTTGTAAGTACATATTCTCACCACAACATACTAACACTAGAGGAAATACTCCAGAGAGGGAGTAATGTTCAGTTATACTTACGGATGAATACTGCATGGCTTTTGGCATGTTTTTTTGTGGGGTTGAAGGGGGGTGCGGTTGTCGTTACAGTGTCATTCCAAACCATTGGACGTTTTGGACAGGAACAGGATACTAATTATTGGGCCAGACAAGTCCAATAATAACTTTGTTTGTACCTCCTTGCAGTTTATAAAACTGTAGCCAGAATTTTATAATACATACAGGGTTTCCTCTTCATTTCATTCATGGAATTCTACTGTAAATATTAAGTTTAAAAAGCATGAAACTTCTGCCTTTATGAAACAGAAACATGCCACTCTCTTCGGAGAGAGATTCCTAACACCAAGTATATATAATGAATACCTAGCACACATTAGAACCTCCATACATGTTTTGCTTATTGAATGAATGAATGATCATATAACTGATGTTCTTGTCAACCTTTCTTCCATACTTGGCAGAGGCTTCCTATGCTCTTTTGAAAACACTAATCTGGCTTTTTATATCCTTCAGTGATTCTCAATTTAAGTGTTCAGATAAAGCCCACACTCCATTCATTTGTAGGGCGGGCACTCAAGCTCAGTCCTGAATTGGCTTTCTCTATATGCCTCTTCTAGCCTCATCTCTCTACTGCACAGGTACCATTCTATTCATGCCAGAAGTACACATCTGTTATGCCTTTGCTGTCAGGTCTAAACACATTGGGTTCGTCTCTAATATGCCATAGGGAGCTGTATGGCCTCTACCATAGCACTAAAACGAAGAATGTATCTCTAAACCAGTGGTTCTCAAACATTAGGGTGCATCAGAATCTAGGAAAGCTTGTTTTAAAAAATATTGTTGGGCCCACCTCTGAAATTCCTGATTCAGCAGGCCTAGGTTGGGGTTTAAGAGTTTGCATTTCTAACATTTCCAGGTGATGCAACTCTGATGGTCTAGGGGCTTATGCTTTGAGACCCACTATTCTATGAATTCTAATTCCTTAGGGTACCGTAAATGAGAATGCACTAACAGATTCTTTGTAAATGAGCTGAACACATGCATGAATACAAATAAATGTAGTTTTTTCTGCTTTTTGTATTAACAAAACCAGGTATTGACGACCTCACAAAAGAACATCTTGTAGATTTCCACTCCTCACATATTGCTTATAAAATTCTGTAATTTGAAGTTTATAGTATTTTCCTAGACAAAGGCTATTTGTCATCTAGACACCTATAATCCTAAGTGAATTTTTAAGATTTATTGATTGAATCATGGTATGTTAGAGTAGGAAGGGAGTCTTAGAGGCTGTTTGGCCCATTTCCCCTACATCTAGGGGGCGGCCATCCACCAGATTTTTCTGTAGAATTTATACAGGAAGTTCTACAAAGTACCCACAAGGTCCTGCTGTGCTCTGTCTTGCTTTCTCTTTAGGCCCTGACAACACTGCTAGAGAACCCAGTTCATTTCTTTATTCTAATAGAGAAGAAAAAATTGTTCTTATCCATAATTTAATTGTACATTGGACCTACATTTTTCCTAAAGGTGAGCACTTTTAATTTTATAATCTGCAAGAAAATAAGCTTCATCTATTTATTCAAATATCGTGATGAGCAGAGTACACCAAGACAAAATAGCATGAGCCCTCAAGAGGCTTAAAATCCACAGACTTGAATCATTAAAAAGACATCAAAATGTCTTTTCAGGCCAGGCTTGGTGGTGCACACCTGTAATTCCAGCCGCTCAGGAGGCTGAGGCAGGAGGATCGCAAGTTCAAAGGTAGCCTCAGCAACTACAAGGTGCTAATGAACTCGGTGAGATCCTATCTCTAAATAAAATACAAAATAGGACTGGGGACTTGGCTCAGTGGTTGAGTGCCCCTGAGTTCAATCCCAGGTACTCCCCCCCACCAAAAAAAAAAAAAAAAAAGACTTTTAAGTGTCATTTAGTCTCAGAGGGGTACACAGCATGTCTTGGCAGAATAAAGAGACAGCTCTTTGACTTGGAGGTGAAGATTTGCTAGGACAGGGATCAGGCAAGATTTGCTAGGACAGCATTACTGAAATTTAGCATGCAAGAGTAGGCCGTCTCCTAGAAGTCTGGCATAACTGCAGCTGAAGGTATGTTCTGCAGTGTAGAATTCCAATTTTATCCTGGATGTAACTCAATCACTAAAAGACTTTGGGTAAAATGACATAGAATAATGCTTATAGGACCTCAAGCCTTAAAAATAGAGTTGTATTGAAGGATGCACATTGTCCTCAATGTTTTGTGTGTGTGGGTGTGTGTGAGGGTGGGGGTAAATGGGGATTGAACTCAGGGGCACTCGACCACTGAGCCACATCCCCAGCCCTCTTTTGTGCTTTATTTAGAGACAGGGTCTCACTGACTTGCTTAATGCTTTGCTTTTGCTGAGGGGCTATGAACTTGCTATCCTCCTGCCTCAGCCTCCCAAGCCACTGGGATTATAGATGTGCGTGGGCACCATGCTTGGCTTTTATATGTGGTTTGAAACTTAAAATATTAAGTTCTCATACTGACTGGTATAGTCACTGGAGGGTGTCTTTTTGCATACTAAAGAGATTCAATTGAATATAAATGGAAAGCAAAGAACTTATCAAATTGTAATTAGAATTGATCCATATTGAAAGGGTCCAGAATAGGCCTCTAAGGGATAAATAATATTTTGAGAAGGCATTTGGTATTCCTGAAATCACAATCTGCTTAAAAGCTGAACTTCTCAAAAGAACTTAGTTACCACAAATCCCTTCCCCAAGAGCAGTTAGGGAAAACTGACTTTTATCCCCAGAGACAGTAAGTGGGCACCACACCAAAAATAGAGTATCACAAATTATCCTCTTGGTATTCTAAGGACCCATTTATCTTCTAAAATATCCTTTCTCCCCACACTTCCTCTATTAAGATGGCATATAATAAACCCCAAATCCTACCCACTTCTTTGAATCACATTGTTGTGAACCCTCATGTTATAAAATGGGTTCTTTCTTTTGTGTATTTTTTTTTTTTTGTCAATTTAATGCACCGTCTCCAAGCACTTAGTGTAACAGTATAGAGGAAAAGTGTTTGTTCCTCACCTGTATCAAAACAAGAAAATTTTTCACTAATGAGAGGAAATAACCACATGAAGGTCTAAATTAGTGTTTCTCAACCCTTTTTTTTTTTTAATGTCCTAGTCTCTGAGGTACTGGTTTTAGTAGTCTCAGTGAGATCCGGCCAGGGTTTGTTTATTTATTTATTTTGGTAACAGAGATTGAACCAAGGGGTGCTTAATCACTGAGCCACATCCCCAG